CTACATAGTTCAGGCTGGCCCTGAATTCACTATGCAGCCCAGGCTGGCCTCAAACTCCCTAGTGCTGGAATTACCGACATGCCACCAACACCTGCCTTTGCTATTGGTTGATTTCTTGACAACAGCCAATCTTCCTGGAGTCAGATGAAATCTCAGGGTTGTTTTAATTTGCATCTCTAGAATGACCACTGATGTCAAACATTCTTTTCATATATTTGTTTGTCATTTGTACTTCTTCATTTGAGAAGCATCTATTCATTTCACATACCCATTTTTTGGACTAGGTCTTTTAAATTAGGGGAATTTGATGTTTTTGAGTTCTTTGTATACTGAGGTATTAGTCCTTTGTCTGAGGAAGAGTTGGAAAAGTTTTTAAATTTTTATGTTTCCCGATTGACGTGTTTTGAAATTTTGTTTTAGTTTTTTCTTTTTCTCTCTTGAAATAAAATGGATTTGAAAAAAAGAAAAAATAATAAGAAATACATTCCCATTTTGTGAAAAAAAAAATTTTAGAAATCTTTGTTTTAGAGACATATGCTGAAATACACCAGAAGCAGGTGATAACAAAAGCAAGAGGCTGAAGTTAAGTTTGGTGGAACACCCTCGCAATCCCAATCCTGATAAGGCTCAAGTAGGAAGACTACAAATCTGAGTCCCACTGGGCAATATAGCAAGACTTTGTCTCAAAAAAAAAAAAAAGGGTAAGAAGCCCTGGGTATGTAGCTCTGTTGTGGAGTGACCCTAGGTTCAATTTTCACTACCATCATTTCAAACAAACAAACAAAGAGAAAGAAGAAAAGAAGAAAAAAAAAATACCAGAGACTGTATTGATGCAAGCAAGGAAGGAGCCACTAGCCCAGGAATGAATTAAACTCTGATAAGAAATAGATTCTCACATTAGAGCTTCAAAAGAAACATAATCCTTACCTCTAAACTGTTAAGATTATAAATTTGTGTTGGTTAAAGCTACAGAAGCAGTAAGAAACTAGAACAAAGACCAACCACGAAATTTCACAAAGTACAACTCTTCAACAACAGTACTTTGCACAATTTGAAATCGGTATGTGGATAATTTACCATACCATTGGATTTGAATGCATAAATGTCTAAAAGGCTAATTCCTGGAAAATTCTACACAAAAAATACAAAGATATCACTAATAACTCACAATATACTAAAATAATTATGAGGAAGCTTAACTAACAGTACTGTATTTATAACAAGAGAACAAAAATTAGAAACATTTAAAAACTGACCCTGGCTTGGGATGTAGCTCAGTGGCACAAACACCTGCCGGGCAAGCACAAGGTCCTGAGTTTGATTCCCAGCACTACCACCAACAAAAAACTGACTAAAAAATGAAACTTGATGTGTCAAAAATTCTGGCAGTTCCATTACATGTATACATACACAAACTTGACAATGTAGATAAATGTTATAGATAGTCTTCCTACACTATTATTTAAAGCTTTCAGTAAACTAAAAAAAAAAAAAGTTACCAAAAGTTGATAACCAAATTGAGTAATCATGAGTAACCCAGTAAATATGTAAAAAAGTTTTAAAAAGCTGGATCATCTCTAGGCTTATTAGGAAGACACTCATTGATTATATTCTAAGAATTAGTAAACTAAATCATTTTTGAAATTCTTTCTACCTTAAAAAAACTTTGGTTTAAAGTCCTCAATTAAAATTAGAATCTTAAAGATTTCCTCAAGTTGAGAGCTCCAAATAAATATTACCAAAAAAGTATCTAAAAATTCATATTCTCTTCTGAAGAGTCATTTATACAATAAATTTTGATAAAAACCACTTTGTCTTCCAGTAAATATTATAAAGCAGTTTTGACAGAAACAATATTTCAAAAGATATTTGATTTTCCATAAGGCGAGGAATATATTCAAATTTTTTAATCCAAAAGAATATTTTACTTCTTTAGTCAATTTTTATCTACTCATAAAACTTCGACATCAACACTTCAATGAAGCATTTCCTAGTGGTAAATTTCTGAAATGTTTTAAGGTCCAGTCTTTAAAACATTTTTGATACATATACGATTACTGTGTATGTATTCAATACCATACATAGCGAGACAGAGTCAATTTTTACTTTTCAGTACTTATCACCTAAGACAAACAGCACCACTACAAAAATAAAACTATGCGTAACTAGAATAATGAATGACCAAATAAATTTAACGTCTGGTTTGGTACTCAAAGGGTTCTATATATTTGGTCTTTATCTGCCATACCAATCATTATTCCTAGAATTGACTTCCAGTCTATCTTACACTCAATTTTTATAATCATCTACTCTGAATTTTGAGCAACTGATTCCTCATTTAGTTCTGCCATCCTAAAATGCTTGCCTGTTTATTTTATACTGTATGAACCATATTTATCTGTGTTATTAAAGTTTATGTTCTCTTCTGAGAGCTCTTCCAGTATCCAGAAACCACCCAACCTTCACAAGCTTTCCCTGACTTCTATTTATTTATCTTTTTGGAGAGAAATCTTGTTACTAATAGTTATTGTTAATAATAGTAGCAGCTCTTATGTTTATAATATCTACAGCACTATAACAATGGGCACTTTTCTTCTGCAATTAATTAATACTCAAAACAGGGCTGGCGATTTAGCTCAGTGGCATAAGCGCCTGCCTGGTAAACGTGAGGTCATGAGTTTGGATCCCCAGTACCAAAAAAACAAAAAACAAACAAACAAAAAACCACCTCAAAATAGCTCTGAGAGGTAGATAATATAATTATCTTTGTTTAATAAGGAAATTGGAAACCTGAGAAGATAACTCTCCACGTCACACAACTAAATTAAAGAGCTCAGATTTTCACATCCATGCAAATGTCTTATATCGTATAGCCCATTTGTTTTTACCTGTCTCTTCCAAATCTAAACAGTAACTAGCTAAGCCATGCAGTTCAAAGGTGATGTTTTATAAATAGTTAACTAAAAAGTGGATCTCAACACTAGTTTCAAACACAGACTATTTTTGTACTTTATACTGAAACAAGCCATATTTTACAGAAGAAACAATGAAGAAAAAATTTATTCTCACTACTTTTAACTTTGTTCCCACTTCTCAATTATCAATAGAATTTAGGATAAAAATGTCATTAGAACTTCTTTAATACTGTCCAGGATTCTGGAATAGAATTTAATAATACTATCTGCTTAGATACCTATTTTAGTAACAATAAATTTTAAGTAATTCAAAAAGGCATACAGCCAGGGCCAGGGATCTAGCTCAGCGGCATAAATGCCTGTCTGGCAAGCGTGAGGTCGTGAGTTCAACCCCCAGTATCAAAAAAAAAGGCACACAGTCAATATTTCAGTAGTACATTACTCAGAGACAAACTTTAGTTCTATCATTTAAATTGTGAGAAGATAATTACCTTCCTCGAGACTATTCCTCAGCTATGGAAGTAAGAGTAAACAAATATTTAGCATTATTAAGTGTTATAAACACAGTCCAGTAAAGTATACACTTAAAAAGTAGCAACCATTATTACTGGCTTATTTTTACTTTTCAGTGCTAGGGATAGAACACAGAGCCTAGAGAATATTACACAGGCTCTTGACCACTGAACTGTACCCACAGCTCAATTATGGACATTTTTATTATTTATTATGAGATCAGAAATATTTCCACTGTAAGAATCAAATTTGAAAATGGAGATGTTCACGGTAAAGAAATATCATGAAAGATAAAGGTTAGTTTTAACTTTTTTTTTGAAGTCATAGTAAAAATAAAATTTTCCAGTCAGGCATGGTAGCTCACGCCTCTAATCCTAGCACTTGGGAGGCTGAGGCAGGAGGACCGTTATGAGTTCGAGATCAGCCTAGGCTACAAAGTGAGCTAAAGCCAGTCTAAACTGCATACGAGACCCTGTCTCAAAAATTAATAAATAAATAAAGTTTTCCATTTAGAGTCACTGTGACAATAATCTTCATAAGCCAAGTTACTTTCATGCCCATTTAATTTTCTATTAATAAGTCATCGCTTTAAAATTTAACTTTTTTGATCACTTAAGAAACCAAAAGTCCAACCCAGAAATTCAAAAAATGATGGGACTAAGTTAATATAAGTCAGCAAAACTGCATTTTGCTATTAATCATTAGACTGTTTCTATGTGGAGCCTGAACAAAGGACATCCACTAAATTAAAATTACAAATGCTTCAATACACTAGGTGACTCTTATCTCATTGCAAAATGAAAGCAAACTGCCCTCTACTTTATTCAAAGGACATAAATATGTCAAAGAATCCACTACCTAAAAAGTGTTACCAGTTGAAACATTTTATTTGGGGAACCCTTACTCTAAGTGACAGAAACATTTCAACAAAGAATCTATAAATAAATATTTAATAGACTCACTCAAAAGCAATAAGAGAACTGTGAAAGTTATTCTAAAGCAAAATCTTTGTACAGTAACAATGTATCATTTAGTTTCCTGTAACATGCCGGAGGATGATACATACTTCATTCATATCCCTACTTACTTAATTTCAGAACACAATTCAATCATGATAGTAATGATTAAGAAACCTTCATATTTTTATACATAGATTTCCTCTTACTTCTTACTTAACTATTTTAACTGTTTCATTCACCTGTCTGCTCACAGCTACATATGAATTTAGATTTGAAAGCATTTAATTTTCTCAACTGTAATTCTCTCTCAATTTCACTAAAAAAAGTTTCTTGGAAAAAACACACACATATATATATAAAATATCTAATACTATATGATTGGAAAAGCAGGGAGAATAAAAGGAGGAGATAATAACAGGAAACTACCCAGATTATGTGCTAGGAAGCCTTAAACTACCCGTAGTTCTCCTATCAACAGAAGAAATTAAAGTGCTACTTTAAAAATACTTTCCTAAATTTATTTTAAACATATTTAGAGAGTAAAATGGCTTACACCGATGATTTTACAGCTGCAGATGATAATACCTTATTACAAAGTATTTGAACTACTCACCGAAGTTTGGTCAGGTTCTCCATCTGTTAAGCCTGCCTCCATAATGGAAGAAGATAGATTTTATGCCTCTCTTCCCATTAGTGTTTAGCCATCCTGTGTGTCTGGAAACCCTGTAAGAAAATCAAATGGATTAAGATTGGTTTAAAGTTGCAGTAAGTGGAAAATAAACCATTAAGCATATTAACAGAGATCATTTTTTAGGCTGACATTAATAGGACATTCAGTAACCAAAAACACAGACTTTTGGGGGCTGGGGATTTAGCTCAGTGGCATAAGCGCCTTCCTTGCAAGTGTACAGTCATGAGTTCGATCCCTGGCACTGATAAAAACGAAAAAGACAAAAAAAAAAAAAAAAAAAACACAGACTTTTTGGTTTTCCGGACAGTGCTGGAGATCAAACGTAGAGCCTTGTATATACTAGACAACTGTACTACCAATCTCAGTTCTAAGAAAATACAAGAACTTTTTTGTTTTTTTGTATTAGGAATTGAACCCATGACCTTTCACCTCCTCACTTTTCCAGACCAGGTCTCAGTAAGTTACTGAACTTCTCGGGCTTGACTCAAACTTGCAGTTCTCCTGCCTCAGCCTCCCAGAGTGCTAGAATTACAGAAATGTATCATGTCTGGCTGTCAAGGCAGATTTTTGATATGCGTTTGAAGAATGTTCGAGAGAAAAATGAAAAAAAAAAATTTCACTAGAAGAGGAGTAGCCAAGAGGAAGGTTAAACCAATGAGTGTCCACAATTTGAAAAGGTACTCAAATAACTTCAATCTACTTATAATTAATGAAACAAAATTAGTTTTACATTATTAAATCGGTGAGAACTAAAAAAGATGTTAAAACCCAATGTAGGACATATACTTTTATGATGGGATACAAATTAGGACAATTTTGGGGAAGGATAATTTAAAATAAAATACTTTCCCAAAAGATATACAAATACACAGGTACATAAACAAACTTCCAACAAAGTAATACAAGGAGAAAAAAAAACTATGAAAATTTTAATGTTGATCACAAGTAGTTTCTTAAATTGTATTACAGATATAGAATGGAGTATCACACAGCAACTTTCAAAAAATGAAGTAGATCTCCATATAACAAACTACAAAGAATACAAGATGTACATCAGAAATGTAAATTATAATTTTATATATAATACTGTTTCTATATTTTTAACTTTTCACTATGAATGTCCTACTTTTATACTTATTTTTAGTTTGAAGTCTTTGAAGTATGTCTTCATCACAGCTTTTCAACTTTTTAACAAAACCCCCAACCTGAACTCCCATAGTAACAATGTATATTAAAATGTCTCTAATAACCTCTCTAATAATTCTTCCTTAAAAAGCTAACAAAACCCAAACCAAGAAATCAGTAAACTCTCAGTCATTTCTTGGAATTCCAAAGTATTTTCTTATTTCTCCAAGTAAAATGGCTGCACTGAAATATAAACGCTAGTGAAAATATTAATTAGACATTCAAGAACTGGCATTTGATTTGGCATAACCAATAAGATTAGCGTGAGAGACTGATTTCTTTCAATTCTGGAATATTTATATAAACTTTTCTCACTATATGTATTATAATACACAGAAATTATTTGTTCTTACCAGTGAATTCTCTTCAATGACAGAAACTATCTTGTTTTTGTTTGTTTGCTTTTCTTTTTGAAACAGGGTCTCACTATGCAGTTCAGACTGGCCTTGAGCTCATTTTGTAGCTCATGCCAGCCTCAAACTTAACAGCGATCCTCCTGCCTCTGCCCCCCAAGTGCTGGGATTATAGGCATGCTATCATCATACCTTATAGGCATGCTATCACCATACCTAGCTTTAGTTTTTAATATTAAAAAAAATTATACAACTTCCAAAGGAAGCTTCAACTTCAAAATTTGCTACCGATTTTCTCATTCTATTCATTTCATTTTAGGGAGACATCCACTTTGACTACATCAGTAAGAAAAACTAAAAATGTTTCTTTTACAAACCTTATAAATCTACAAGGAAGAACCAACCAATGAATACAATAAATTAGAAAGCTATGATAGGTCAAAAAGTAACAAATTACAGCTAGAGTATTTAGAAAGTGGGAAAAATAAAGCAGGCCAAGATGAATCAAGAAGTAAAATATTGTAATTTTAAATAGGATGGTCATAGCAGTTCTCACTGAAAAGGTGGTATCTGCTCAAATATTTGAAATAAGGAAAAAATTTGCTATCAGATCAGAGGGACAAGCCAGTATAAAAATCCTAAGGGAGGAGTACAGTTTACAAGTTTGAAGAACAGCAAAAAAGCCAATGAAATGAAAACAATGTAAGCAAAGAGAAAACCAGATGACGTGATCACAGAGTTACAAAAAAAGAGTGGGTCAGTAGATCTTTGCCTTTTAAGTGTCACAAGAAGCTACTTACTGGTGGGAGACTTACAAGCAAGAAAGAAATAATATAATCTGATTTACATTTTAAAGTTTCTTTCTGTGTTGACAGTAGTAACTGTTGTGAGAAAAGGGTCGAAATTGGGAGTTCAGTTAAAAGACTATTAAAGGAAACTGGGAGAGAACATAATACTAGGGCAAAAACCAGTACCATAAAGATACTGAGACAGTGAAAGTCTGTATGTACAGCAAATGCAACAAGATTTTAAGCCAGATTTACTGCAAAGTGTGGAAGAGAAAGGAAATGAGAACGACTAAGATTCTTGGTTTGATAAGGGTGATGTCCGTCAATGATAGGGACAGGACAGCCGGAAGGAGTAGGGGTTTATCTCTGCAGGAATGAGGCAGAGGACACACAGCAGAAGTTCAGTTTGGGAATAAGCAGGAGATAAATACTGGGTGTGCAAATGGATACGTGAAGTAGGAGGTTAGATACAAGAGTGTGGAGCTAAGAAGAGACAAAGCTGCAGATAAAAATTTGGGAGTTAGCATACTGAAGGAATCACCAAGGGCATGGAAATCAAAATTTGAATTTTAGAACTTCCCAGGCATATGTAACTCATCTCAACGCAATTCCCTTCTCTCTACCCCAATTCGGTTGGTAAGCTATTTGCAGAGCAGGTAATTTAAAAATATTTAATCTCATTTGGGGGCCAATAATTAAATTAAAACAATGATTATAGATGACACAATTACAGCAACATCATCAAGAACATGGTGAATAAAAGACATCTCAGTACCATTTATATTACTTTTACTAGGTATCTCAAAAAAATTCAATTCAGTAGAAAAGATATAAATGGAAATAAGTTACTATTTACGTACTAAGTAAGACAATCTGGACAAAGTCAAAGTGTTGAGGAAACTCAAAAGTTCAAAGTGCTTAGGGGAAAGTACATAGTATGAAAGTTTAATGCTACCAAATAACTGATATTTTAAAATACAGAACTTCAGCCAAATAATACCAAAATATTACATAAGTGATAATATATCTCATCTCGTCCTTTGAGAAATCAGTCATAAAAGACAAAGACAAGTTTATAACTAGCTTACTGAGTTAGACAAAAAAAAAAAAAACCTGAAAGATTTGTTACTGTTTCTCCCACATTCTCGCATATATTAAATTACTTTTCCATCTACACTATAGCATTTGGAGCAGTTGTGCTTACCACTACACCACCAATACACATCACTCCGTAGGAGTGGAGGAGTTTAGTTATTAAATGACACAGATTTGTTCATCTTGCTTAGTCCTGTTGGCTCTCGAGAGTTTTTTTCAATCTGAAGTATCTTTTTCCAGTACAGGGAAGTTTCTTCTATTTCTTTTGTTAATTGTATCTTTCTATTCTGTCTTTTGTTCTTCAGGAATTTTTCTTAGGCAAATACTGAGCTTCCATGTTTCTTAATTTCATCTTGGTATTTTCCAATTCCATTAAGCAACTAAGTTTTCTAACATTTGGAGTTAGTCCCTTTTACTCTTATATTAACAACTTGACCTGTCAGTCAATATTGCCCATATTCTCAAATTTCTCTTACTGTGGGTAAGCCCATTCTCAGTTCATCTGATATGTCATTTACTCCTCTCCTTTTCCCTTTTCTTCCTGCTTTACAACCCTCTGAAAAAGTAAAAATCATTCTAAGACTATATACCATAGTTTGTGGACACCCACCTCGTGACTTATTATGCCTTAGAGTCATCTTCTCAAATCTCTTCCCTCTGAAAGATTTCTTAATAGTGTTCATACATTCATGTCCTCTATTTCCTGTAGTTTCCCACTAAATAGTATAGTTCTATGCCTGGGTTAATCTAACGTTACAGATCTGACCATGTCAACTCAATGTCAGGAAATTTCATCCTTCTTATGAAGTCCAAATCTTGCCTTGGGATTTGAAGTAACAATGATTTTGTTTATATGTGCTCTTTTATTTCTTGCATTCCCTGACCCCGTCTCAGCCAGACTGAATTATTTCTTACTCTCTAAATACATTATCAGCTTCGTGTTTCAAAGAATATAGGCTCTGCCTGTTTTCTTTGTTCTATTATAGTATGTGTCCTTTGTACAACCACATTAATCCATGAAGTGAAATCTAGGTCATGTATTACCTTCTTAATAAAGCCTTCCTTAATTTTCTCTAATTGGAAACAGTCTCTTAATTTTGAATTTAAGTTCATATGCCACTGTTCTCTTCTTTACTAAATTTGTTTCAATAAATCTGTGAACACTGTTTACATACATTCCTGTTTTATTCTGTTAAGTTACGACTGCAACTTACTCATTTTAAACTACAATATCACAATGCAGGCAGGACTACTAATCCCCCAGACTCTTCAAAAACTATGGCTTGGACCTCCTACCTAAACTGTAACAAAGTTAAGAACAATAATCAGATGACATGCTTGCTGAGGACAAAAGGATACAAAGTGGGAATTGGAAGAAGATAATTGTAAACATGTGACACAACTACATGATCAATTACAATGAAAACTGTAACTTCCATGAGTATTTATTTTGTTATGAATGCTTGTGTATATGCATGTATCAAATATCTTTGCTTTCTTAATTTTCTTATTCCTTCATCATATAAGATGTACTGACTACATCATACAATATTTAGATATTAGCTCTGTGTGATGATTAGTTGACAGTGCCAACCTGAGAAGTTTAGTTAA